GCGACAGCGACAGCCCGAGCCAGAGCCGCCCCTCGCGGTTCTGGAGCAGCAGCGCGATCGCCTCCTCGGCCACGGTGGAGCGCACGGTCATGAGGTGCCCCCCGCCCCGCTGGCAGCCCTCGCTGGCGCCGGAGAAGGAGCGGGACGCCCAGAACACGGCGAAACACTCGTGCTCCAGGCACTGCGCGCCCGCGGGGGACACGTCCCGCGGCTGTGCCCGCGCCGCCGTCCCCAGCAGCAGCAGCAGCAGCGGCAGCAGCGGCCGCATGTCCCGCAGAGGGGGCGGCCGGCGGCGCCCCAAGCTGAGCATGGCCCGCTCCGCCCGGCCGCCCCCTTTATAGCGGCCCCGGCGGGGGAAGGAAGCGCCCGCGGGGCCGGCAGGGAGCGCGGCGGTGAATCCCGGCCGGGCGCTGCCCCCGCCCCCGCCCCGCCGCCCCGGGCCCCCGCCCGCATCCTCCCGGCGGCTCCGCCCCGGCGGGGCCCGCCCGGCGGCGCGGGGGGAGCGGCACGTCCCGCGGGACACGGGGGAAACGGGGTGAGCCGCGGGAAAAGCGCGAAAGGGCAGCGGGGTCTCACAGCACAGGAGGGGCCCTCGGGGGGGCAGCAGCGCCGCTGGGAATTGTCACCCCGCTGGGAATTGTCACCCCGCAGATCAAACCCTGTGTCCGGCTCTGGATCCAGCACAGAGCATCTCTGTGTCCGGACATGGGAATGGTGCCGGAGCAGCAGGAGGGAGCTGGGAAAGGGGCTCAGTCTGGGGAAAAGGAGACTCCAGGGGGGAATCTTTTCCCTCTCGGCAATCCCTGACAGGAGGGTGGAGTCAGGTGGAATCGGGATCTGCTCCCAGGGAGTAATGAACGGGATGAAGGGAAATGGTTTAGGTTTGATTAGGGAAAATTTCTTCAATAAAAAATTAACGTATGATTATGTATTTCCATCTATAGTCATATATAATTTATATAGTTCTACTAGTTGGTACTATTATTATTATTATTATTATTAAGCATTATTATGGCTTTTCTCCCTATCTCCCCTACTCCCCACAGACACCTCAGAATGGATATCCCATTCCATCAGTTTATCCTTGGTGGATCCCTCTGTGCTGCCAGAACAGAGCCAGGAGCAACCTAAAAATGCAGCCCAAATGTCCCAAGCTTCTCCACTCCACAAAAAGGGGATTTGAGGCTGTTTTCTCATGGAATTCCAACAGCCCTGGGCACTGCAATTGGCCTTTGGGATGAGCAGCAAATCCCAATTTCCTCGGATCACGGCAAGGAGGTTTCTTTATTAAATTTTAGTGAACTTTATTGAACTTTGTTTGTCCTTTCTTGAACCCTTGAGGTTTGTTTTGTCCTCTCACAACCTTGGGTGCTTCCCGTAAATCCCGTGAGTCTGTGGGGAAAAGGGAAGTTGGTAATAATAATAATAATAATAATAATAATAATAATAATAATAAATTAACTCTTTAATTCCATTGGACCTTTCGGATCTACCCCAAATATTGAAAAGAAATGTCCATGGAATTTAATTCTAGCAGCAGGGATGAACCTCAAGGAGAAAGTGTCCATAGGGGAGCTTGGACTAAAAAATTTATCCAAGCAGGATCATTCTCAGAAATCTCCTGGGAGCTGGATAATTCTGACCTTTACTGGCTTTAGGAACACCTGCTGTTCCCACAATTTTCACTTCACTATTTCCAATTCTTCTTCCACTTCTCCTTTTACTTCTGCTTCTGTTTTCTGGAGAAAACCACCAAGAGAAGGGAGAAAACATCCTGGCAAACCACAGGAAAAGAAGGAAAATGGAACGTGGTGGAGATGGAAAAAAAAAACCCAAAACAATAAATTTCTGCTCCTGCTGTTATTTTTTTTTTTCAGTAACTGCAAACCCAGATAAAAAATTCCTTGTCAAGGTTTTTTCCAGGAAAAAACAGAGCCTTCCCAAACAATGATCCCACTTCGCTGGCCTTGCCCGACTGACAACGTTTGTCCCCAAAAGATAATCGGGATGGGGTGGGAGGAATGGGATTAATCACACTTTCATAATTCCCTTTTATCCCACTGCTCTGCAGGCTGAGTCAGGGTGCCAGCAGTGCCCTGCCTGCTGACAGGCTGCCTTTCCTCTTCCCCAATCCCATTAATCATGTTTCCCCTGCCTTTGCCTTTGGCTCTGACTCATCCCGGCTGTCCCTTTCACTCTGCTCGGAGCGGGCACTCGAAATGCTTGTCCTGACCCCCGAATCCGGGAGTTTGTGTCAACAGAGGGGGGAATTTTTGGCTTCTTTGCAGGGTTTTGGGATGAGGTTGCTCTGTTGGAATGCTGGCAGTTGTCCACGAAGGAATGGAAAGCAATGGAATGTAAAATAATGTGAAATATCATGGGATAACAGGATCTAAAAGGGGTCTATCCTATTAGTTGATCCCGAAAAATCCCTCTCGCAGAGAGGTGCTGAAATCAAAGGGATTGCTCGTGGATTTGGGATCTTGGCCATGGGATTAGGGTTTTGGTCATGGGATTAGGGCCTTGGTCATGGGATTGGAACCTTGGTTGTGGGAATGGGACCTTGGCCATGGAATTAGGACCTTGGTTGTGGGATTGGGACCTTGGCCATGGAATTAGGACCATGGCCATGGGATTAGGGCCTTGGTCATGGGACTGGAACCTTGGCTGTATGACCGGGACCTTGGCCATGGAATCAAGACCTTGGTTGTGGGATTGGGACCTTGGCCATGGACTCAGGACCTTGGTTGTGGGACTGAGAACATGGTCATGGGATTGGGGCCTTGCTCACAGATTTAGGAACTCGGTCATGGTCTTAGGACCTTGCCCGTGGGTTGAGGTCCTTCCTTGTGGGCTTTCCTCTTGGTTTTAGGAACTTGGTCATGGGATTAGGATCTTGCTTATGGACTTGGGCCCTTCCTCCTGGGTTTAGGGCCTTGCTTGTGGGTTGGGACCCTGTTCATGGATTTAGGCTTTTCTTGTGGCTTTGGGACCTTTTTTATGGGTTTAGGACTTTCCTCATGGATTTAGGACCTACCTTGTGATTTTGGGATCCAACACAGCCCATCCCAATGCTCCCACCCCATGGCCTCAGCAGGGATGAAGGGAATGGCCCCTGGCCAGGAGCACAGATCCTGGGAAAGGCTGAGATCATGGAATAAGCCCTAGGAAAGGATTTGGGATCACCACCCACCCACCATGGGGAGCATATAGATTAGGAGCACCAGACCATGGATTCTTAGGAATATCTTTATTAAAACCCACTGCAAACACATTTTCATACAGGGTTTCTTGGAATTTCTTCCAGAGAGAGCTATTGGGATAACTTTATCCTGTAAATCCGAGTTTCATTCTGAGAAAGCAAAACACTCATCCATGACAAAAAAATTCCAAGGAGCAGGATGAACATCCCATCTTCTGGGGAAGACAGGGCACCAAATTATCCTGCGCCAACTTGTGGGATTCACCAGTCCCTGGACAACTCCCTGAGGAGGCCACGGATCAAGATGTGTCAGGAAAATGAGAGACATGAGGTTGGATCCAGGTGGAATTGCACCAGAAGGGAGGATGCTACAGCAGGAAACATTCCATTAGGGAGAATCCAGCCTAAACCTTGGCACAAATCCCTGTCTTCCCCTAGATCCATCATCATTCCCCAATGGAATACACAGAGGTTGCAACAGAAATCAGGATTTTGATTTTTGGGGAATAAACAACACACCTCAGGTTTTTCCCAGCTCTGATTCCACCCTCACCCTTTCTTTTCCTTTTTTATAGTCTTATATCCCATAAAAAACCCCAAGGCCGTCACTTCCCACAGACACCAATCCAGCATAATTACATGGGATTCCCTTCATTGATCCCGCTATTTCCAATGCTCTGCTGCCTTGGGATTTGGGAATTTTCAGCAGGATTTCCAAGAATCCTGTGCTGCATTCCCTCCCTTTATCCCAACCCAGGCAGCACAAGGAAAACATTCCTATCAGCTCCATTTTCCTGTTTGCAGCTCACAATGGAGCCCCAAGACAAGAAAAAAGCAGGAAAGGGTTTTGCTCAGCACAGGGAATGACAGGATGCAGCTCCCTGCCCACCACAAACTCCTTTGTGTTCTATTCCCATTCCTGGAGCAATTCAGCTCCAGGGACAAAATAACTCCAGCAGAAACTTCAGGAACCTGCTGGACCCTTCAAATCCCATGGCTGATCTTTTCCAGCCCTTCACAGCATGGATAAATCATGGAGGAGGTGCTGCTGGGTGTGCCCCTCAGGATTTTGGGCAGAATTCCCGCTGGAAAAGGCTCAAGGAGTTTTGGGAAGTACCTGGGGAGCGACTTGGCCTGAAGGGTTTTTTGAGAGTTATGAGTTTTACACAGAAAAATCAGCAAATATTCCAATTCCAGCATGTTCCTTACACAGGGAGAGAGGGAAAACATGCTCAGCCTGGAGCTGGGAAGGATCCTTCCCAAAACAAATGATCCAACAGGAAAAGCCCAGTCTCTCATGTGGCTGATGGGAAGGAGCGCATTGTTTTCTCTGTTTAGAAGTGGATTTAGGCAGGATACTCAGGAAATGAGGAGGTGGTTACTCCAAACACAGCTTTTCCTACCTTTATGCCATTCCTTGGCTCCGTGATGAGCAGTTTTCCCTGGTTTCAGGCGACAGATTTTTAATAAAACCCCAAAAATAACCCTTAAACCCCACCCTGGTTGTGCCTGCAGGGGCCTGTTCGAGCTCTGCTGAGGCACATCCCAACTTCAAACCCCTTCCCATCCCAGCTTCAAACCCTTTCCCATCCCAGCTTCAAACCCTTTCCCAGGAGAACGAGGCAAATCCAGAGGGAGCAGTGCACAAGGGGCTGCAAGAGAATTCCAAGTGAGCAGTTTTCCTTTAGGAACGTGATCCAGCAATTCCGAATTTGCCTTCTGGAGCACAGCTGAGGAGACAAATTCCACCCCATTCCCTCGCCCCTCTCGTTAACCCACTGGGATTTTTAACCCTCTCCTACCTGCGCTCCCCGCGGCTCTCGGGCTGCTCGGGCACCCAGCAATAATTATCGGCCGCGTTTTTGGCCGGAGGCTTCTCCCTCCTGGCCGCCCTTTTCCTGCAAGCCACGAGCGCCAGGGCGAAGGCCAGCAGGAGCAGGATGGCCACCAGGCTGCCCACGATGTAGTAGAGCAGCAGCCGCGGCCCGTCGGCGCTGTGCTCGTCCGAGCCGGCCCCCAATCCCGCCGTGGGCATTCCCAGAGAACGCGGGATGCTCGTGGTCCATGGGATGCGCGTGGTGCGGGGGATGCCGGAGCTCTGTGGGATGCCGGAGCTCTGTGGGACGCCGGAGCTCTTTGGGATGCTGCCGGAGCTCTGTGGGATGCCGGAGCTCTTTGGGATGCTGCCGGAGCTCTGTGGGATGACAGTGGAGCTCTGTGGGATGCTGCTGGAGCTCTCTGGGATGCTGGAGCTCTCTGGGACACTGTTTGGGATGGCCTCTCCGGGGCTGCAGCCGTGGCCATCGGCGTCCCGGAGGGAGCCAGGCGGGCACAGGCACTCGTAGCCGCCGGGGAAGTTGCGGCAGGCGCCGGGACACGGATCCCGCAGGCACTCATCCACATCCAGGCAGGAATCTCCTCCCGGCTGCCGCTGGAAGCCGGGCCGGCAGGTGCAGCGGAAGGAGCCGGGAATGTTGATGCAGAGCTGCGGGCACGCGTGGGGCTGGGCACACTCGTCCACGTCGTGGCACTGGTGGCCAGCGGGCCCCGCGGGGCGGTAGCCGGGCCGGCAGAGGCACTGGAAGCCGCCGGGAACGTTGTGGCACTGGTGCTGGCACGGCCCCGACTCGCACTCATCCACATCCGAGCACCCTCGCCCGTCGGCCGCCAGGGCGTAGCCGGGCTCGCAGCCGCACTCGAAGCCGCCGGGCCGCGGGCGGCAGGAGCCCTGGCAGGGATTGGGATGGCAGGAATCCTCGGCCAGGCAGGAGGCCATGTCGGCGGCCAGCACGTAGCCGGGGTGGCAGCCGCAGCGCGGGGGCTCGCCGGGCACGTCCAGGCAGCGCTGCTGGCAGCCCCCGTTGTGGTGCCCGCAGTCCACGGGGCACAGCGGACCCGGCGGGTGCCAGGCGAAGCCGCCGCCGGCCAGCGGCCCCTTGCAGACGGCGAAGGCCGCGGCCCGGCCGCTGTCGCACTGCACCTCGGCCAGCGTGCCGAAGGGAGCGGCGGCCAGGCGGGCGCTGCGCACTCCGAACGGCGTGGTGTAGGTGACCGTGCCTCGGCCGGCCAGCGGCAGGAGCCCGCACATTCCCTGGAAGCTGAACTTGCAGAGGAAGGCCGGCAGCGTGCTCCGGCAGGCCCGGTCGGCCCAGCCGGCGGGGCCGTGCGGGCCGGGCGGCCTCAGGGCCACGCAGCGGGCGCTCACGCAGGTGACGGCCGGCTCGGATGCCCACTGCGAGAAGTTGCCCGGCTCCCCTCCGGCCACCCAGGAGAAGCCTCGCAGCGGCTCCTGCGGCCGCACGCAGTGGCCCCGGGGCAGGGCGAGCCCGAGCCAGGCCGGGCCGGCCCAGCCGGCGCTGGCCAGCAGCTCCCGCAGCCGCTCGGCCTCGCCCGCGCTGCCCGCCGGAGCCAGGTTGCCTCCGTTATCCTGGCAGCGCTCCTGGGCGCTTTTCCAGTTGCTCTCATCCCGGTGCAGGGTGTAGCAGGCGCTGTCGGCGCACAGCACCTCCGCGTCCTCCCCTCCGCAGCGCCAGGCCAGCAGCAGCAGCAGGAGCAGCCGGAGCGTGGCCATGCCGCCGGACAAGTGGACAAATGACCAGCGGAGTCACATCCCGCTGTCCCGCCGAGCTCTCCCGAAACACATCCTGTGCTCCAGGCTTTCCTATTTATCACCGGAGGCCGCGGCTTCCTGTAGCGTGCACCCCGTTGTGCTTCCCGGCTTCCCTTTGTAAGAAACACGCTGGCTCTCCTGTGAAAATTCACAAAGTTTAATAAAGGGCAACAGGAGACAAAGAAAAGCAAAGATTATGGCAAGGTGCATCTTGGCACTCAGCCAGGAGCACCCCATCACCTTCGGGACACCCCTTAAACACCTTTCCCATTACCTCGGTCCTTTGCATCTTCACAGACCCTGAGGCATATCCATAGGGCAGTTTACATATCCCAGGAGCTGTTTTGCACGGCCTCTCCTCGGGTCCGCCTCTCCAGAGCATGCGTGTCCCTCGGGTGTGGTTTGGGTTCCTCTTTATCGCTTCCAATTCGGGCCCTGGTCCGTAATTTCATCAGAGGGCAGATGCTGATAGTTGGCATATCAGCAGCAGGGTCCTCATGGCACGTTTGCTGGATGTTATCCCGACCAAACAGAGAATTCACTCATACCCACATCAGCTACCCCTACTGCTCTAAGATTTTGTTAATAGCAGAAATAAAAACAAAGTTATTTTAACATTACACACACAGCATTCACCCCAATATTTGCAAAAAGCCAACAGTACAATACGTATTTATAGCACCTTTCCCGCCGGCTCCTCGCTCCCATCCCAAAGTTTTGAGTATGACACGCTGCGTTACTGCTTTTATGCTTTTATTTTTGTGGTGTTCCTGCTTTTTTTTTTATTTTTTTTCCCCCCTCCAAGAATTTGATTTATTCCCTCCGGCAGCAGCTGAGTTTTCCAAGCCCTAATAGGGGCCGAGATTTTTCAGGCACGTGTTGCTAAAAGGGGAAGGAAAACATCCCGGCTAAAAAGCCGTGGGATCCGCGGACAGCAGCCTCTAAAAAAGAGGGAATATTTGACGCGGCCTCTCCCGCGCATGCTCAAAGATTCCAGCACATTTTCCCCTTTCCTTAAATAGATGGAAGAGCCCTGAAATAGGAGCTGGGTCGTGGGAAGGTCCTGGGAATACCGGGATGGAGCTAAACTCAGCCAGGCTCTGGTGCCATCCCGAGCCAGCACTGTCCTGGCATCCCATGGATGAGGATTCCTCATGGAATTCGAGGATTGGGCTGGAAAAGCTCATCCATGAGCAGGGCAGGGACGATCCCACTGGAATGGGCTGTTCCAGACTTTGATGCTGGGATGCTCCCAGTTCCCTCCCTGCATTCCCAGGATTTCTCCTCAAGCGTCACTCCGGCAGCAGCAGATTCAGGATTTAACCCTGAGAGTCTGGGGAGTCATTTCCTGCTTGGCACAGCCATGGATCCACTGCCCATTCCAGGATTTCTCGGGTTAGGTGGGTTTGGAATTCCTGAGGGAACGGCTGTGATCCAACAGAGAAATTAAAACCACTTCCCATTAAAACCATTTCCCTCCTAAACAAAAAAGCTGCCAAAAATCCCATTAAAACCCTGGATTATTCCCAGACCTGCTCATGCACAGCATTCCTGGGAAAGCCCTGACTGCTGGGATATCTTCTGGAATCTCCCATCCGAGTGAAGGTTCAGGGAGCCACAGCCAATACTCCCAAACCAGAGCATTGAGGAAAAACTTCCCAAAAAAATGGGAGGGAGAAACCCCACCTGCATGGTGTTTCTAATTGGATTTATCCAGAATTCCAGGAATGGGGGGAATTATTTTGGACTTGGAATGAGAGAGCTCAGCACAGAAGCAGTTCCCTGCTGCCAGCCCAGGACACGGCTCTGCTGTTGGAAAAACATGGATCATGGTTTGTCCACCCAGCTGATCCCACAATTTTCCAACCAACAACTTCTTCCCACTACCCAACCTGGCCTTTTATATCCAACCAAATTTTCCTGGACAAAATCTGTGAATTTTTAACTAAAGCTCCTCTGGATATTCCCAAACTGGGGGGAAATCCCAAAATATTTGAATATCATTTAAATGTTAAAAGTCGTTCCAGGACAATCAAGGAATTTAAGGGAATGTTCTTTCTTAGGACATGTAAGGTGTTTAATCAGGAATCCTGTCCCAGGGAAGAACTTCTTGTTCAAAACCATGGAATATTCATGGAATGTTTGCAAAAAATAAAGTTAAAAACCTTTCCCAGTGGTTTGGTTTTGGTTTTTTTTTAAAAAAAAAAAGGTTTATCCCTGTTTCCAAGAGTTTCATGGATAAGAAAGCTCCCTCCCATCACTTTTAGGAAGATCTCCATGTTCCAAACTTATGTGGGAATATTTTGGGGAATTTTTGGTGCTTCTTTGATTTTTATCGAATATTCCACACTCCTTAAATTTTCTTGGATGCTCCCATTGAAAATCCAAGTCCTGGCTCCAAACTTTAGAAGGATTTTCTTTCCCAACCCTCTTTGGATGAACACATCCATAGCCCCCGGTTTTCCATAGGAATCCAATCCAAATGATCTCCTGGAGAGCAGCATTCCCACCAAAGGGAATATCCAATACAACTAATTAAAACCAATAATAAAATTGCTGAAAATGAAGGAATTGGTTTAAAAGTGTCGCTCGGAGGTTAAAGAAGGAAAAGGGCGTGGAATGTGTGACGCCAGCGGTCACAAATCTCGGGACTGGGATGAGGGACAATGGAGCCGGAGGCGGGGACACCTGTGTGGGGAAAAGAATTGGAGGAACTCGGCTCCCTCTGGAGACACCACAAGGACACGGAGACGGGGCTGGGAAGCTCTGGGAAGGCTCTTGGAATGGGGGGGAGCTCCTGTTACACAAAATTTTGGGAATTTGGGCAATGTAGAGGAGCAGGAATTAGAAGGGGTTTAATGGGAACAGAATTCCAAGCGCCAGGAAAAGGAATTGCTTTGTTTGGGTTTTCACATCCCTCCTCCTGTGCTCCAGGGAAGTCACACCTGGAATTCTGCATTCAGGTCTGGCTCCCAGCACAGGAAGGACGTGGAGTGTTGGAGCAAATCCAGAGGAGGCACCGGGATAGTCAGAGGGTTGGAGCAGCTCTGCCAGGAGGAAAAACTGTGAGAATTAGAATTGCTCAGCCTGGCAAAGAGGAGCTTCAGGATAATCCAATTGTGGCATCCCAGGAACTGAAGGAGCTGAAGAGAAAAACAGGGAGAGATTATTCCCAAGGGATGGAGTGCCAGGAGAAAGGGAATGGCTTCCTGCTGTTAGGGAACAGGCTTAGATGGAATATTGGGAATAAATCCTTCCCTGGGAGGGTGAGGAGGCCCTGGCACAGATTCCCAGGGAAGCCGTGGCTGCTCTATCCCTGGAAGTGTCCAAGGCCAGCTTGGAGCACCCTGGGATAGTGGGAGGTGTCCCTGTCCATGGAATGAGATGAGGAACTAAGATCCCTTCCCACTGAAACCATTCCATGATTTTTTTCATTGAGTGGCTGAATGCCCACCTAGATGGAAATGAAGAAAGGAAGGAGTAGTTCCCATCCCAAATATCCCATTCCTTCCAGGCATCTCCCTCCTTTTCATGGAAGCAGGGAATTGGTTCTTTGGAGTCCACATACCATGCTGGCATTTTGGATTCTTCCCTCCCTTTATCTTGTCCACGATTTTTCCAACTTTGGAGCAACTTCCAGGCTAAAGCTGGAGGAGGAGGGAAGTTCAAAACAACCTGGAGCAAATCCAGGAATTCTGTATTTCTCCAGATAAAATCCAGGACAAAACTCCAGGAGCTCCATGGGGTCTCTGCCAGCTCCAGGTGTTTTGAGCAGCTCCAAGGAATTTGCTGGATGCCAAGTCAGGACATGATCCCTGAGTTTTGTCCCATTTTTCCATCCCATCTTGTGCTTAAAACCAGGAATTCCATTTCTGTTTCCATTTGGAAGCAGTCAAATGGATTCCAGGGAGGAGAAATCCCACTGGCTCCCTGCAGATCCATGCTTTGAAATTTCTTTGGGATAGAAGTGGGGCACTCTTCCCAAATTCTTTCCTCCTGGAAGTGGAAGAAGTGGAGCACACCTGGAATATTAGGCTGGAAAGCAGCTGGAAAAGTGGGAATCATGCCTCTGAAAGTGTTTCATCCAAGAAGGAAAAGCTCCTCAGATCCCAGTGGGGACAGGGCAATCACCCTGGGGAAAATTCTCACTCCAAGGGATGTTTTCCCTCTTCTTTTGTTATCTGAGGGATTTTTTATTATTCTTGACTTTTTCATGTGTTCGGAGCCCTGGAATTGCTGACTGGACTGTCCTGGGTGGTCCAGGGTGGGAATGTGGGGTGGGAACAACCTCTCCTCCAGATGGAGCCAGTTTAGGGAAAAACAGAAATTCAATCAGAGGCTTCCATGGGGATGAACCCCTCCTCCCATCAGGATATTCTCCAAGGAATATTTCTGGGGGAGCTCTGGAATGGCATGGGGGAAGATGAAGGGGAGGATGGACATTAAATCCCAAGCCAAATTCCCTGCTTTCATTCCAGCAGGAGGTTTGGGGATATTAATGTTGGAATGCCACCAGGACACCTGGAGAGCACACACACAAATAAACTCCAGGATTTCTCCAAACAATCCAACCCATCTGGAGGGGCTGCACTGGGACTTGGAGCTCAGACCAACCAGAGTGGGGGAAATGCTGCAGCTCTGCAAAATTCCCTCTCATTCCCAAATTTCCTGGTCATCCAGGATGAGCCATCAGGGAATTTGGCAGCTCCTGCTGTTGCTGAGGGAATTCCAACTCACCTCCCTAAACAGGGGTTGCCTAAGGAAAGGAAAATTGGGAAAATTTCTCCCCCAAAATGCAAAGAAAGTGGAGAATTCACTAAGGATGGGGAATTCCTGTGTGGTTTTCACTGGGATTTGTGTGTCTGTTCCTTGTGGGAAGCTGGAAGCAAAAGGGAACATCTTTAGGATATTTGGGACGGGGTTTTTTTGGCATAATTTGGGATTTTCTGCTGGGCATTCCCACTTTTAGCTCATCCCGTTTGGTGGCAGGATTGGTTTCCAGGTGGAATAATTAAGGAGTAAATAAAAATAAAAACAAAAACAAAAACAGCCTAAAAGAGAAACTAAAACTAAAAATTAAAAAAAAATAAA